CCCCTCCCTAGACCTAGCACACACCCCTCCCTAGACATAGCCCACACGTCCTTCCCTAGACCTAGCACACACACCTCCCTAGACCTAGCACACTCCCCTCCCTAGAGCTAGCACACACCTCCCTAGACCTAGCAAACGTCCATCCATAGACCTAGCCCACACCGCTCCCTCACATCCCTCCCTAGACCTAGCACTCACCCCTCCCTTGACCTGTGCACACACCACTTCCTTGCTCTAGCACTCACCCCTCCCTAGACCTGGCACATGCCCTCCCTAGACCTAGCACACACCCCTCCCTTGACCCGTGCACACACCACTTCCTTGATCTAGCACACACCACTCCCTTGATCTAGCACTCACCCCTCCCTAGACCTGGCACATGCCCTCCCTAGACCTAGCACACACCCCTCCCTTGACCCGTGCACACACCACTCCCTAGACCTAGCACACACCACTCCCTTGATCTAGCACTCACCCCTCCCTAGACCTAGCACTCACCCCTCCCCAGGCCTGGCACATGCCCTCCCTTGACCTACCACACACCCCTCCCTTGACCTAGCATACGCTCCTCCCTAGACCTAGCACAGACCCCTCCCCCACACAATGAACATTTCCAATATTCAATCGTTTTCTTTGGTTACCAACAAATTAATGGAACCAGATTATTATATTGCATTTATTTCTATTCTTGCTTTTCGCATGAACTAAAAGGTGATCAGAAAGTTTTTAGAACCACAAAAAAAACCCAAAACAAACAAAAACAGCAAAAATCTACACACACAAAAAAAACAGCAAAAAGCTACAACTAAAAAACAGCAAAAGACTACAACTAAAAAACAGCAACTAACAAAACTATTTATATTGAGCAATTAAATTACAAGCCTATTCCAAAACTATAGTGACACATAAATCATAAAGACTGGGACATGTATTGACACACAAAGACTTGAACATGTATTGACAAATAAAATCTTGAGTTAGCATGAGGCAAAATTTAAGGAAGAAGTCATTTGCTTATCCAAATAAATAGTTTAATCTTCTTTTAGCAATCATCATTTGTCAAGTTAGATCACAGCCATCACAGCCATACAACTGTCAACAATATAAATATTTAAAAAAAAACAAAAAACAAAGTTTGTTTTTTAAATGTGTGGTGTGTTACTGATCCCATGAGCTTTTCTTGAAGGGGATTGGGGGAGGGGGTGGGCACAAAGGTGAATCTATTTCCAGGTGACATCCCCTAAATTGTCAGTCTATTTCCATTGAATTTTGATATGGAGAGAGAATGACTGTGTCCCTTGTCCCAAATACAAATGTGTTTAAATAGATGTACTATTTTTTCTTGTTCTTTCTCTCCCCCCCCCCTCCCCACACACACTATTGTCCATCACATTAGCATTACCCTTGTCCCAAATACAAATGTGTTTAAATAGATTTACTATTTTTTCTTGTTCTTTCCCTCCCCCCCCCCCTCCCCACACACACTATTGTCCATCACATTAGCATTTCTCAACCTGGCAGATTACATTTTACATTAGATTACAATAAATAATGGATTTGCACATTGATTATTGGTATCATGGAATAGCTCTATGCATTCAATTGTTTGTATGTGCATACAAAAACAAGCATTCACAATTTTAAATTCCATCAACAAGAAATGCCAAAAAAAAATTTTTGGACACAAACTCATATATAGGGTACTGGTAGCATTTGAATCAACAAAATGATAATTAATTCCATTTTTTTGGTTCTTTTTTGTTTTTGTACCAAGTACAACTAGCTTAACAGCCCAAATATTCTAATGTACAGTTAACTCCTTGGAACAAAAATCTCATTACAATAAGTAGCATATAAGTCTTAAGTCATAGTTGAATTAATACATTTAAAATATAGCATCACTTGGGCAGAAGATATTTTCTGGCCAATATCCCATGAAAGCACCGCTTAATGGAAATGATGTCACACTTAAAAAAGGAATAGTAACATAGTTTATATTCACATGATTAATACACTTTTTTTTTGGTCAGGAAATCATGAGTTAAAAAAGAAAAAAAAGAAATGCAACAAATTGATTACCTGCTATGAAATTGTGATATTTTAGTCAGGAAAAACACCCCATTAGAAATACTTGAGAACCCCATTTGGTTGTCTAGTGAATACATTTTTGTAGTTTAAAAATGTTTGTCTTTGCAAGAAAAGTTATGCAAGTGCTGAAAATTAATATGAACATTATAATAAAAAACATTTCTATTTATATGGATGAATAAAAGAATCTTATCTTATATTATCCTTATTAAGGTCACAACCCTTCATGTAAACAACTGTTAGTAGGTGATCACATATTATAGTTGTTATGGCAAATATACTTTACAACAAAATCAAATATATCAATTTCAACAAACTGGATTTACATATGCTTAACATATCAATACTTAAAATGTCATCAAATCTACATGTGTATTCTTCAACTAACAGCCAACCAGCTACATGACTTCAGAGGAACGAGCCATGATGAAAAGGTTTGTGCATGATGACAAGATACATATAATATGTATTTTTTTTAAAAACAAAAACAAGCAAAGAAGCTGATCAATTTCCTAGATTAGGTGACTTTGTAACAGTTTTAGTCATGATGATAACTGAATTAAGCCAAATGTATCTCATAGACATGATGATGATAACTGCATTAAGCCAAATGTATCTCATAGACATGATGATAACAGAATTAAGCCAAATGTATCTCATAGAACATGATAATAACTGAATTAAGCCAAATGTATCTCATAGACATGATGATGATAACTGAATTAACCCAAATGTATCTCATATACATGATGATAACAGAATGAAGCCAAATGTATCTAATAGACATGATGATAACTGAATTAAGCCAACTGTATCTCATAGACATGATGATAACTGAATTAAGCCAACTGTATCTCATAGGCGTTCCAGTTGCCACCAACTTTGTAGTTGCCCAGTCTACCGTCATCCCATCTCACTGTGACGGTGTGGAGACTTGGAACCTCAGTGACAATGCTGCCATAACCAGGATCCTGAGCGATTAAATCAATGAATCAAACTTTCAGTATGTCTTAAATAATGATGAAAAAACTTGAATTTCTTATTTGTTGCCATCTAATGTTGTCAAGGGGTTTATTAATTTGACATGAGTGCCCCACAAACTAAAACAGAACTCAACTCTTAAGTCAGGTTGATGAAAAATATTTATTGATAGTTTATTAAATTCAGAGCACATAAAACCTTATAGTGGTATGTTCTTGGTCAGTTTGGCCTTTTATAAAATCCTGCATGTACGCACTGCTGAGCTAAATTCATACCACTAAAACATCTAACCAAGGACTTACACTTTTGCAAAATCCTTTTTAAAAATTTTTTTTATATAATGTATATATATATTTATTCCATGTTTGATCTCGTTAGTTTGAAAGACTATTCAAAATATTAGGTTGAAATACACAGACATAACAGTATTAAAAATTATATCATGCTACCTGCATCTGTAAGGCGCACAGGTTATAGCATGTCAGCCATGAATTTATTTTTTAAATAGAATCCTGTGTAGTTAAACCTAGCTTAGAATTAAATTATAGATTTGTTTTTTGTTGACTTTGTACCGCGCTTCGAGCCTTTGGGGATGAAGCGTGTTTTTGAAATGAACTTTATTATTATTATTATTAGAAAGTGCTCAGTATAATCCTATATAACTAATACCTTGCTTAGATTAGTACTCAGTATAATCCTACATAACTAATAAACAAGAAAGTGCCAAGAAATTTTTTGTGTGGGGGGGAAAAGAGGAAGGGTAATTTACTCCATGGCCTCGGGTGGCTTCCAGGTTAAGACAACAATACTTAAATGAAGTCTCCTTGGTGAAATTTAAACCAGCATTCACTCGACACATAGATATTCTTGCAGTGAATATAATAAATAGAATTTCAGATGTGATCATATCCTAAATTTCCATTTTTGTAATACACAAACTGTTCCTGTGGCTTATATTTTTTGAAATACACGATTTAGAAGAAAACTAATGGCTAGTTAAGACACACTAAATACATCCAACATAAAGACTTTTTTCTTCTCCTGATGTTCAGAGAGTTGCGAGAGATTGCGGAGCTTATTAAACTTAAAACATGAGGCAAAAAAATATTTTTTTTTTAAAGTTCAATAATTGACTGCATAATTTATTTCTTTTTAAAAAAAACCTGCATCCTCAGATGGATTAAAATTTGTTTATACATTGAATGGTTGATGTTATCAATAACATTTTGTGGTGATCAAAACTTACAAGGGCGCCATGGGGCCAGTCGGGTCCTTTCTTAACTCTGGCAGATACTTTCATGTAAGGCAGCTGCTGCTCAACCAACAAACGGTTTGGTGGCAGGGTGTCTTCTGTGGTGAGATTGCATTTGAAAATATGTGACTCAATTATGATGCACACTCAATTATGATGAAGGTGCATGAATTATTACTGAACATACTTAAATTAACTTAACACTTTTATTGTCCAAGGGAGAAAAACCATGTTGTTCAAGGGGGCTACAATTAAAAAATTAATATAGTGGTTTGGTGGCTCAAATAGAGGACATTGACATGTTAAGAAATGCAAATGTCTCAGTCTAAGTGATAGAAAAAAAAATAATTTTGAAATGATAAAACACGAACCTGTTTGAATGACGACAAACTTTTTTAGGCTGAATCTTTAAAAAATTTGGACACGCTCACAATGCCTCATCAAAAGTTCCTGTCCCCCCCCCCCGCAACTTGTCCAGATGCATGATGTAATTTCTGGATGGTCTCTTACAACTAAAGACAATATAATTATTTGTCCCCCTGGTCTTTGTTTTACACGAATCTCAGTCTAAATGATAGAAAAAAAAATAATTTTGAAATGATAAAACACGAACCTGTTTGAATGACGACAAACTTTTTTAGGCTGAATCTTTAAAAAATTTGGACCCGCTCACAATGCCTCATCAAAAGTTCCTGTCCCCCCCCCCCCGCAACTTGTCCAGATGCATGATGTAATTTCTGGATGGTCTCTTACAACTAAAGACAATATAATTATTTGTCCCCCTGGTCTTTGTTTTACACGAATGATTAATTTCAAGAAAAAATAGTGCCGTTAAGACATAGTTTGCTTATGTGCTCAATTAAGAGACAAATAAACAAAACAATCATTCTAGCAGATTAGACAAACAATAATTATTCTTATAAGTGGACAATAAACGATAACTTCAAAACAAACTGCATGGGGACCAGACTGCCACATACCAACTGATTTTATCCTGCACTGTAAACTGTACTGTTTTTCACGAATTTTATCCAACTGAAAAGTTGAAAAGACTTATCTTTAATGAACTGCAAGCTGTTTTAATTTTTTTTTAAAAATAATTAATTTAAAAATATGTTATTTTGATTGATACCTTATTTATCAAGCTAGATCACTATTGCTAATATTTCTTTTTTTTTTTTTTAAAAATCAAATTTTAAATAAAATTAAAAATTACGTTATATTAACTAGAAAATTTTGTTCCATTTTTACTAGTCCTCAATTAAAAAATACTCCTTAAAAAAAATGAAACAACTCAACATTAGAAACAGTTTGTCTGACATTAACAACTGAGAAGCCTTACCACACAATTGACCTCTGCAATGTGTTCCCCCACAAGCTCCGAGTCCCTCTTTTGTTCTCCCTCCAACTTGCGCACGTTTTCTCCGACCTGTTTCAGCTTCTCCTCCAGCTCAAGTTTTGCCCATATCTCCAATCCCCTGATGGCCAGCTCCAGGTCTTTTAGCTTGGTCACGTCCCTGTCTGGCCCTTTCCTGGCTTTAAGCTCTTTCAATTCTGAAACCTCTTTGGACATCTGCTGCAGCTGCTCAAACATGACCTTAATCTCTGCTTCTTTCTCGTTTATAACTAAGCTCGTCCTCTCCTGGAGTTGGGACAACTTTGAGTCCATTTCATTTATCCTGTTATCCATTTCATTCAAACTGCTCTCCAAGTTATTGCGGCCACTATCCAGTTTACTATGACCATTCTCAAGTCCATTGACTTTAGTTTCAAAATCAATTATTTTCATGTCCATCTTAAGTCCCTTGGCTTCTAAGTCCTTTAGTCTGTCATGCAGTGAGATTAAATTTTCATTTTTTAGAGATGATATTTCTTTGAAAACGGAATCATGACGCCTTGAAATATTTTCCACATCCAAACATAGGGATGACAAATTTTTCTTCACTTCAACAAAGCTCTCGTTTTGTTCAATACTCAATGGGATGCTGTTCATTTCAGCAACCGTCGCTGTAACACTATCCGGCTGCTGCTTTTTCAAACTATTTAAGTCAGCTATGACACGAACAAGGGTACTAGATAAGGTTTCAATTTTCGCAGTGTGGTTTTGGAATTGCTTTTCATGGATCTCGCACTGACCAGTAAGCATACCTTTAAAGATAAAAGTGTTATATTGAAATTGTAGTGCCTTTTTTAGTATAAAAATATGGGAAATTCATGCCATAACATAAAAAGATAACTGTGACTATTAAATATGATTTATTACAAGAAAGAATAAATCTGTCCAACTCCGCCAAACCACATTTTGATGTCTAATGTTGTGAACTAGATTGTTGTGAATGTTGGGTAGGGGGAGTTGTGGATCGCGAGAGTGTTTTGTGAGTTGTTGATCGTGAGATCAGTGCGTGAAGTTAGTCCGTGGTTTGGAACGTTAGTGTATGCTGGGTGATTTGTAGGGATATAAAAGGTGTGTGTGTTAGTCGACAGTGGTGCTAGGAGAAAGTGACACGTTAGTCGAGAGCTGAGCTGAGAGTTGAACTGATGTGTCGGAGTTCAGAGTAGAGTCGAGAGAGGAAGAATTCTTATGTTGGATTGACTGTAACTATATGGCTGGTAGCCTGATCATTGTATTCTTCTGTTGGATGATATTTCAGTACATGTAAATAAATGCCTAATTTGCAATGGACTAGTCGGTGTCGAGTTGCTTGACCGAGCGAGAAAGAGGCGAGCATTTACCATACAGGTCTGACATAAGATAAGACACAGAGTAGTCACGATTGGAGACTGAAACCCCTAGACAATGGGAGAAGGCAATAACATTTTATGGAGGCCGCGACATACATTTGGGAAGGCTGCAACATCCTGGACGGGTCCCCAAATGTTGCAAAGTTTTTAAATTCATATTAGATTAATCTCAATTTTTTAATATTCATTTTACATACCATAGAAATGAAGACTATAATTACTTTGCAAACCTCCCATCAATTTATGCAAATAGTGTACCATCAGTAAAGTGCCCTTACCAGCCGACTGTAACTGTGACTTCTGACATGTTGCATGTCTCAAAGATAAGTCGGGGAGAACCTCAAAGGAAAGAGATCCAGACAACTCGATGGCTTCATGATCATGTGCTAAACTGTCAGACAGCCCTAAAATGATGTCCAAACACATACAAATTTATGTAAAATGAACATCTTTCCGATTAATGAATGCAAGAATATTGTCATATATTCTTATATTGAAAAAATAGGCAAATTTTATTTTAAAAATTGTAAATTTTTTAAAAAATCATAAAGGCAACCTAAATTTAAAATTAAGTGTACTAATGATGGAGTACAAATGGAAGATTGAAGCTTGAAAAAAAAAAGGAAAATTTTAAGTAAGCTCACATACCACTGCACACTGCAGGCTTGTCATTTAGTTGTGCTCTGAACTCGCTGGCTTTATCGCTAAGGAAATTCATTGCAGTTTCAATAGCCTGGCTTACATCCTTAAAGTTTTCAAGGAGTCCACTGTGTTTGTCAACAAGAGTATGGCCAAGACTGATAACCTAATCAATAAAAATGTGGCCAAGACCAATAACCTAATCAATAGACATGTGGTACTAAAAATTATTTATTCTTCTATGCTTTAAGTATATTTCTCTTTTTAAAAAAAGGAAAGGTAATGATTGCAAATTGTCAAAGTGTTCACTCTATACAAGTTATATTTTAATCTAATTTTTCTTTCATATTAAAGAGAAACTGCATTCAATTTTGTTCATCAGCATTTATTCCCCTTAAGTTTTCTGATCAATATGCTGTCTTGGTTCAAAACTTATAAAAAATAACCAATACTTGTAAATATCATTTTTTATAATAAAACACAAAATATTTATTCAATATGTTTACTAGAATTCAGGACTTAAAGTCACAATCCAACATCATACATTTTTATTACTATGTTAATTTTATTATTACTTTTTTTAAATATAGATAAAACTAACACAGTTCTTTGTATAGAAAGGCATTTATGTAAAATACCATAGTCAGAAAGACTTATTACATGATTGAGGTAGGAATCCATGGCTTCCAGAAACTGTTGTCTTTCATCTTCTAGCATTTCCAGTTTGAGAGTGATCAAGTTAACTTGTTTTAGAGCTGTTGTCATTTTCTAGGTCTGTTTTATGGCCCTGCCTATCTATCTCTTGTACCGGTACTTCTGTATAATGGAATCGTTATATTATATAGTTATAGTTAATTTGTTGTCCATCTTTATTTTTATCATTCAGAATTTTTTAAAAGACATGATGTAGATAGATTGTTAGGCAAACCTGGGCCTTTTCAGAATGCACAGCACCTTTTAAAGGAAACATATTCTTAGATTCTTAGCTATCTAGAAACAGCAATATCAAAGGCTAAGAATAATTACAGTAAAGTACAACTATCATATTAGGGGGCCATCCATAAATGATGTCAAGATATTTGTCAAGCTATTTTAACTGAATTTTTTTTTTTTTTTCAAATTTAGACAGCCTCATAATTTTAAAATTCATAAAATTTCATCACATATTATATCCCTTCTCTCGCTTGTTTAGATGCATGGCCCTCTATCTTAATGAATATATTATATATTGAAATAAAATACTGGAAGTTTTTCAAGAAAATAACAAAAATTATAAATGTATATAGTACTAGCAGTAGTATATAAGTTCTAAGCCTAACAATAATTAAAAATAATGGGCTCAAGCTTATTTTTTTATATTGTTTCTCCTGGACCCCAAACAGTGTAATTATGCAACATATCAAGTACATATTATATACCATATATTAACTATATATTCACAATTGAGGTGACTACTGTCATTGAATAATCACTAATAAAACTAGTGGAAATCCTCCAAATTCCAAATGCCAGTCCCAAATCTCAAATAGTATAGTCTACTTTTTGTTGGAAAATGCCAGGTGGCCCCGATAATTGTTGACGTAATTGTTTACATCTATAATTCGTTAATAAATGGAGTTGTCTTGCTTGTAATAATATAAAATAAATAATACCATGGCCGGCAGACCACAAGGACTGGTTCATATTGCAAATAATATTTTGCCCGGAAGCACTCTGCAAACTTATGACACAAGCTGAAGAGCAAGAGCACTGTATGACAGCATGCATAACATTATGCTTTGGTTAGTGTGGCTTGCTGAACACCATCTCATAACTGTCATCATCCCATGTCTTTAGTCTGACATGCTGAGTCACCTAATGGTTACTCATGGAAATGCCATCTGAGGAATACGACCAGCAGAGTATGCATTGGGTCATTTTTTTGCTGCAAACTGTAGGCTTAGCACACAGAAATATCACCATGATAATATTTTTTGACGTTTACAAAGTGAAATGCAAGCATGTTATGCTTTTCAATAGCTTGGAAAGTTGGCACATCATTGTAAACTATAACATTTTCCGAATTGAGTGTTGCAATTTGTTTTAAGTTCAACAGGATGGAACATGACATGGCCTCTTTTCAAGCTACTACTACTTGTGTGTTTTCCAGTGGCGCTTTAGCCACAAAGAACATGTTTTCTGTCAGTACTTGAATCTTTATGTTGTTGAGTGACAATTATCACATTTGACCATGTATTTGATTTTGATAAAACTTTGAACTGCCAAAGTAACTGCTCATTCAATGCCTTTTACAAGTGCCCCCCCACCCCCTGGAAAGCCAAGGTCCCCCACCCCCTGGAAAGCCAAGGTCCCCCCCCCCCAGCAAAAATATGTCCAACAATAAATCAACTGACCCCCAATCTGAAGTGCCCCTCCGGAGTAAAATTTCTGAAAGAAACACTGCTAATGACTCATATAATGACATATAGCCTAGTTATAGCCATCAATCATAGTCATAGTATATTTAAGCTTACTATATTTTATATTATTAAGTATTTTTAGTGTTAGTAGTTAGGATTAGAGTTATCATTATCATTAGTTTCAGTAGGAATTATTATTGCTTATACTTATAGGCTATGGGTTCGCCCCTTGGAAGCACAGCTTTGAGTTCGGCTTTCTTTATACTTGGTTGTTGGTCTTGGCCTTGGACATGATTAAAATTTAAAAAAAAAAACTCTTCTAAAATCTAAAAGGCAATTAGTAAATATTAAAGGATATCAATAATTTGTTAAATATATGTGAATACAAACACACTAACAACGCTTCAGTTTAAAGAGCATCATACTATGATTGATAAAACAATAAAATGCAACAACTACTTTAGTCTAGGTAGATCTAAATATATATTTCCTGGAAGTGGAAGCCATTTCATTTTGTACTAACAACTTAGAAAGGTCTCCTTAAAGGGAGGTCATCCATACAGTTTTCGTAAAATATGATAGTACGTTCCCTTTGCAAATAGTCTCATTAAAAACTTTCTTATGTTTTATCTAATACTAATACTAGACAATAGATTTAAATTATAAAATTTTTAAAAAAGGGGGGGGGGTCTAATTTAAAAAGGTCTTCACCATTGCCAAAGCTATGGCCAATCCTCAATGTAAAAAAATAGGATCCCAGACAGAAACCCATTCCAAAAGCCAAAAGAGGCGGGGCCAATTTCGATTTATTTATCTTATCCCCGAGATTTGAGATAAGCACTCTATTAAAATTTTAAAATCATTCATTGAAATATTGAATTTAAGTTTTCAATATTAAGTCCATTAAAATCTTATGGGATTTGTGAAAGATCTTCCTTTTAAATTTGTACTATTGGGGACACCGAAACGACTAAATATTTAATATTTTAAAGCAGTTAGCATTAAATTAAATTTTAATTAATGTTGGATGATGACCAAACTTTCTTGTAAAAGATGCCCCATTAAAAAATCATTTGCAAAACGCCAAAGCTCTAAAGGTTATTTAAAATAAAATATTACAGGATGTAATATTATAATTATTAGTTTAAAAGGCACCGATATTTTTAAAGGGGTTATTAAAATTATGTTTACCGAATTTTGCCTTGAAATGATGCCTTGGCAACAATTTACGTAAACGCCACTGTCGTTACTAGAAGCTTGCATTGTTTTTTGATAGGTTAGTGACTTGTTACTAGTTGCTTAATTCCCGCCCCCCCCCCCCCCCCCCCCCGCGTAATTGATAACTATTTTATAATGTGCGTGTTTAGCAAAAGACGGATATGAACGTCTGTATAAAAAACATATGCCATGGGTGGCACCATAACTCGCTACGACACTGCCTACAAATCTGTAGGCTACATCTTACGTCTTACTATTAATGACAATGTTGAGGCAATAAGTCAAAACTCTCCTTTTTTCTTTTTCCTTTAAAAAAAAATAAAAAAAAATATTATTTGTAAGGGCAGAGAAAATCCATCTTGGTACCTCTATCTTGCCTGTGTAACGACTAAAATTCTAGGAACTCCTATGACGGTGCGTCCCTAGGAAGAACCAGGTTCGTCTGCAATTTTTATTTTTACAAATGAGCATTTAATTTTAAATTGCGAATGATTGAACGTGTGTTGATCTATTTTTTCACCACTTCTATTTAAACCGGATGTAATCTGAAATAAATTCTTAGAAGTTCACTTTTGTTGAACAGAGACATAGCTCACCGCTTATTTTTATGGGCTTTAGGCTGGATAAATATTACTTATGAATGTTACCTTTACCATCCACACACAACTATGCCAAATTTACCCCAACAATAAAAGGTATCCCGACTGTGTTTTCGTTGAAATTAATTTAAACTGTACGCGCATTAGTAAACACAGTAATAGTAATTTGTATTCATTTTTTTTAGAAATTAGAATTAGTTAGACTTAATTAATATAACAGCAAATGAATATAAAATGTAAAAGACTAGGCTTTGGGGGATCTTCCAAAATAATGTGAATTTATTTACGAAGTGGCTATTCAGACCCGGCTACCAGAAGTGAGAGGTTGGGATTAAAAAATATTAAAATTATTAACCATAATTATTGTTGGGTTTGTAAGTAAGATAAAAATTTGGTATCGAATGAAAGATAATTGAATGGACTATATGTTTGCAAACTTAATATTTAATTCTTTAGTATTAGTATAGCATAGCATTTAGTCTAGTCAAAATTTTGTCAAAATGGATCCGGACACGGCACACGCATCGCCGCTATTTGGCCTGGAGTCATTTTAGACTAAATGAAAATGCTATTCGGATGTCATTTGTGGTAGTTTATTTGAGTTAAACTGAAGAATTAAGTTTATAAATATATAGTCAAATAGTCTATTCAATTAAATTTCATTTGATACCAAATTTTGTCGTACCAACCCTACAATAATATTTTTATTATTTTTTAATCAACCCAACCTCTCACTTCTGATACTGGGTCCAAATAGCCGCAGCCATTTATTAATTGTAAGCCCCTTGTTAAAAATGATTTTACTTTTATTGAACTGTAAAAATTATTTTTTTAGTGATATTGATAACTAGAAATAAAATTTAAAATGTATAAATTAATGATCATTTTCATGCTTGTTTTATATTTTGAGTTCATAAACAAAATTTTTCCATTGGTCTTTCAATAGATTCAAACTAAAAAAAAGAAATAGATTATATTTAATGTTCTGAAAAGAATTCTGAGATGTCTGCAATTGTGAAACAAGTAAATCTAATCACTCTCAAGCTGGATATGTTAAAAGATGAAAGGCGACTTTTTATGGAGACCCTGGATGCATATTTTAATCAAGTATGATATTAAATTTAAAGAGAGAAAAGGCTAAATAGTAAAATAGCTAATATAAATACCCTTTGACTTAAAAAGTAAAGGTCTCAACAGTCTAAAATTCTGTTTCATATCTGTGATTTGTCAATGTTATCACTGCTCTCTATCCTATGCAAGTCTCTTATTTTAAAAAAAAAAGAATTTTATCTATTCACCTGTTATGATTTATTGTTTTAATAATGAAAAAAAAGTCCATACTGTTAAGTGATTGATATAAATAAGTACATGTCCTCATTGTTTCTTTCATTAAATTTGGTGTTGTATTGATTATGACTTAATACTGATTGTTTGTACTAACTGTAATAATTCATGTCTCATTAATTTCATCATTATAAAAGTCCGGTAAATTTGGAGAGATAGCACCGCGGCCGACATCTTGGTTGCTGCGACCAGTGAACTTATGTCCTAAATGTATCCCTAAACCTAACCTGACCCTAAACTTATCCCTAACCTAGGTTTTAACCCTAACAGAACCAGGGTTTTGACCCTTTCGCAACCAGGTTTTTGACCCTATCGGAGCCAGGGACACAACACGCAAATGGCGTCAGGGTGCTGTCTCTCCAAATTAGCCAAAAGTCCCTCTATCTAATTTTTACTGGTAGTTTATAAAATTAATATAATTTATAAAATACAATTTCTACAAAATATGTTAAATCTGAAAGTACTGGTACTTTAATCTTTTTTTTTTTTTAAAGGTATGGCTTATGGTTAAGGCCTAAGCTAAATAAAAATGTGCATGAGGAGATATTAGACAGGGAAATATGTGTCATTGAAGTCTCCAAATGAGCAGATTCTGCTTTATTTTTAAAAAAATTACTTTTGTTGCTGTTGTTAATATGCACTTTCTTTATTTTTCTAAATAAGTAATGATTCTGAGTTTTGTGTGTTTAAGAGGAGATCAGAGAGGACGAATCAAGATAGATGACGTTATTGGGAAGAGTTAGAAACATAGATGACATTATATTAGAAGAGTTAGAAAGATAAATAACATTATACAAACTGGATAGGGTAATTTATTCCTAATTGCTTTGAATTATACTTTCAAGGTTATCTACCTTGGTCAGTCATTTGTTGACAATCCAAGTAACTCACTTCTAAACTTTAAAGACATCAGTCTCTCGGTGGAGAGTGCCCTGTCTTTCCTTGGAGAAAAAACAGCGGAGTTCAAAACGAAACTTAAACAGAAATCTGGATTAATAGGTATCTTAACTTTTAAACTTTTTATTTTATGTTAATAAATAGATCAGTCCTAAGAGCTGATACTGAATTAAATTTACATTCACTGAGTTTTTCAATAGTTTTGCTCCTGGTAAATAAAATTTGCTATAATTCCAGCTAAGTAAGTTATGCATGAGTAATGGGTAGGTTTTTATGTTTCTGGATAAAGATAGCCTTAACCTTACATTTCATTTTAAGCCCATTTATTCCAATAATTTTAATTATGATTATTCCGATTGTCCAGAAAGTTTTACTTCATCTAATTTAATGCGGCGGGATGTCTGTATTGATTCTGTCAGATAGCGATAAAGATACAGTAAATTTATAAACCTGCTAAACAGCAATGCACATTAGTTCATGATGCTGTGCAATTTTTCAAATTTGAAAGATGTGTGATGTTACAAAAAAACTTTAAAAAACCATGCAGTGTTGTTGTTTTTTTAATTTGGGGTAAAAATAAAAGGCTGTCATAACAACTAAAAGGCAAAGAAAAGTCTACTCATTCTGGAGTTCTTTTCAAGCATTATTCACTTAAGTTTACTCGGTAGGTTGATTATTGAAAATTCTTCACTTGCTGTGTGATTAGGATGCCTAAATTATTATTATTTGTAAAAAAAAATATATAGTGCTAATGCCATTGACCATGGGTTAAATCCACAGTACAAGATCACAATATCTTTCCTTTTCATAATAGGAACTATTTCATATTTCTGGATGACAAACATGGAATAATTTTAACTTAAATTAAGAAGAGAAGAAGAAGAATTGAAAAGTACAGGGATACAATCAAGTTTTGTTATCAATGAGTTAGCTTTAGTTCTTGATCTTTCACAATCACTCATTATTTGCTTTAACACAAAAAATGAAATCGCATCTGAAGGCTTTATAAAACTAAAAACTGATAAATGCTTCCGCTGTTGACCAAGTGGGGAATATTTACCTAACAATTTTTTTGGTAGCTATGTTGACATCTTGATCATTTTTTCACAACAGCCTAAGTTGGGAATCTAATTCTCAATTATGTTTTACTGAGTTGAACAATGGTACTATGGTCTTTGAACTCCGTGTCACTGGTCCATGTCTTTCACTAACGTAATGGTTAGTGGCACATTTGCAGACCTGTTAACTCTTACAATTTTGGCGTACAATGTACGATTTTGAGGTGTATACATTATATGTATTGTATGTTTATTTTTTACTATTAAGATAATGTATTGAACGATTTGGTCATGATATTGTACGATTTTAAGAGTTTGATGGTAAACAGGTCTGCATTTGAAGAACTGACCCATCCCCACAGACATACCTAAAATAACTGGTTAAATAAATATGAATCAATACATTTGCAGGCCATGAGCTACATTCTGACTTTGAAACTTCAGATTCAGTGTCGTTTGAAATCCTACAACAATCACCTTCTAGATTTGCAGAATTAAAGACACACTCACAAGCCACAGGTACCAGATGCGTCAAGTTTCATTTACCAGCGTTTCTTAAATTATTGTTATGGTCTTCATGCCTCCTGCTTTATTAAGAGTTGCATTTAAATGCCCGCATTAAAAGTTAGCTCATAAAATTGATTTATTTTAATTTATCGATATTTTTTAAAGAGCAGCAATGTGTTTTGTGCTTTAATTGTTTAAACAAGTAAATTTATTTGACAGAAATCATGTCATTTAAATTGAAAATATTTTTAAAAAACTACCAGTAAAGAATAAACAGCTATTGTTGTTTTTTAAAATTAAATTTACATTGGTTAAAAAAAATCTTCGCCCTACTTCAACAGACCAGACACCCGAAAGAACTGAATTCCTGGAAAAGCAACTTAAATCAAACAGCGTCAAACTAGAAACACTGTCCACAACACTAATTCGGGTCATTGCCATAAAAAAAATCTTCGCCCTACTTCAACAGACCAGACACCCGAAAGAACTGAATTCCTGGAAAAGCAACTTAAATCAAACAGCGTCAAACTAGAAACACTGTCCACAACACTAATTCGGGTCATTGCCGACTTGAACAGTCTGAAAAGGCTTGGGAACGGGGATGGATTTAAAGTGCAGAATGCAGAAGGAGACGGTAGAGCATCATTGGGTCTAGAACAGAGTGAAACGTTTGTGGAGATGAAAAAAAATTACTCCTCACTGACATCAGATCTAGAAAGCATCTCGAAACGCTATGAGTTCATCATGAAAGAGTTTTCTGCCAGTAAATGCGAGAATGGACAACAAATGAACGTTTTAGAAAAGCGCCTGAACGATTTGGAGAGCAGAGGGAGCAAAACGGAGATCAGATCATCAGACGTGGAAAACAAAGTGTGCAGGCTTGAAGACAGCCACAGCAAGATAGATCACAAAATTAACAGCCTGGAAAACAGACTGAGTAAGATGGACAACAGGCTGAATGAAACGGATACGAGGGTGTCTCAGTACGAATTGAGAACCTGTGCGGTCATCGGTGAAAAGGAGGCTGAAATGAGAGATCTCTCGGACAGGCTCAGGCAGACGGTTCAAGACATTTTGGCCATCAAGCAGGTGACCAATGAGAGAAAAGAGATGGACTTGGCCAAGTTGACAGAGATTGAGGACTGTGTTAAAAGCTTACAGAAGAACTGCGCGAAACTTGACCTAGAGCAGAGGGTGACAAAACTTAGTGAGTGGTTTCAGAAGCTGGACACGGAAAGATGGACTTGGCCAAGTTGACAGAGATTGAGGACTGTGTTAAAAGCTTACAGAAGAACTGCGCGAAACTTGACCTAGAGCAGAGGGTGACAAAACTTAGTGAGTGGTTTCAGAAGCTGGACACGGAGAAGCGGAATGATGCCAAGCACATAGAGGAGGTCACATCTGTGGTAGGATTTTATAAACAAACATTGAAATGAAATTATTTAAATTTTTAAATAATAAGAAATTGATTAAAATTAATTTTTTGAAAATCAATGAGTGTGTTTTGGCAAAATAGGAATTTTGTCTTGATAAACAGACATTACCTTTTTTTTTGTTAACGCCTCCTTATTGCACTGATCATTTCACATGTACTCGTATTTCAGCTTGATTCAATACAAGCCACACAGAACAGTTTAAGTTCAAGGCTGACTAAAGTGGGTATGTATGGCCTCAAATAATAATTCTTGACAGATATCTTAACTTCATTCTGCCACACTTATTAATCCTTTACATTAATCCTTCACTGTTGATTGCACTTAAAATTTACCTACAAATGCCTACTCTGATGCCAAAAGTTTTCAATACTTTCCAGATAGGCATTCATTGTCATTGGGATAACTTTATTTTTTAACACTTTATTCAACATTGACCAATTCTCTGTGTCAAAAAATGCCCATGCTGTAAGTCACAAATCGAAAAAGTTCGAAGTCACAGAATGCAATCATTTTCTAAAAGTAAGTAGTATTCGAAGAAATGTGCTCCACCATTGAAACGAATGCTGGACGGAAATGACACTTTTGTATGAATAAATCATGTCATGTTGTGTACCAGGTTCTCTGGGTTTGGTAGCAAGTTTTGTCATGTTACGTACCATGATTCCTTTGTTATTATTGCAGTCATAATATGGACCAGGTTCTCTGGGTTCTTGTAGCAATGATGTTTTGTAATTTAACAGGTTCCCCGAGTTCTTGTAGCCATTTTGTCATGTTATATAACATGTTTCCTGGACCTTGTAGCAATCAGGTCATGATTTTTAGCAGGTTCCCTATGTTGTAGAAATTATGTCACATTATCAGAGCTGTTTACCCTCAAACCCTTAAAATCGTACAATATCATTACAAATTGTTCAATTACCATCTTAATAGTAAAAATAAGACATACTGACTTTATAATGTATAAACCTCAAAATCGTACATTGGACGCCAAAATTGTAAAAGTAAACAGGTCTGCATTATATTTGATAATAACAACAGAACATCCAACTGTATGCCTTGATTATAGCCATTAAAAATAGTGAACATCAGAAGTAATTTGTTTTTATGTGTTCTACATTTAGATTTTTAACAGTGTATTGACATTATTTTTTTAGAACTTATTTTTATGGTATCTTTTTATTTTTTAAATATTTTTTTTTATTGAAAAGAGCAAAACGGATGTTATGATAAAAATAACCCTTGTCCAAAAACTATTCTCAAAATATTGTTTTTTGTTGTTGTTAGTTTCAAAAGGATACTTAATTAGCTAAAATAAAAATGCTTATGCTGGCAAAATGTGGATTTGAAAACTTCAGAAAAACATAAAGAATAAGCAACACATAGATATATTAATATTTGTTCTCAGGTTTATACAATTACAGTCTAAAGTATCTATTAATTAACAATTATTGTTCAATCTTATATTGTTTTATTTGTGTGGTTTTGTATATATTTGATATCCCCTTCTGATTTTTTCATGACACCATGATATCAGAGGCTCAAGTGAAACCAAAGTACTTATCCTTGGCACAACAGGCTGCTTTGATGAAAGTTGGTGCGAGAGTGAAAAGAGGACCTCACTGGGTTCAAGGAAATTTTGTAAGTCTTTATCTAATTGGAAATGTCATTTTTTTTTAAAATAATTTTTTTTTTCTAAGTTCATTAATTATGGTTGATAACTTAAAAATGAGTATTCAGCTATTCTTACAACTGATGTTTTCATAGAATTTTGAAATTTTTATACATTTTTTAAAATTTTGGCTGATGTATAAAATAAATTCTCTAAAACTGACAAATTTTGTGTTCGGTCAATCAACTTGACCAGGGATCCATTTCATTAAATCCTCTCTGTGTGTGTTTCACACAGGATGGCTCACCTCCAGGTTTGGGTACAATTGTTCTTGAACTGGCGCCTTACAACATGGTGAAGGTCAAGTGGGACTGTGGCAATGAGGACAACTACACCATTGGTGGCTACCAGAATAGATTTGAGCTACAGCTGGCTGATCAGCCCTGAATCAGCCCTTGTGGAAACCCATATTTGCCCGTCTTTTAAATTATGGGGCCTAGCTTTCATAATGTGTCTTGTGGTAAGAAAAATCTATGTGAGACTTTGTTGATAAACCGGTGTGATGAAGGATTACATGTGCCATAGATTGTCAGTGTAAATACAGAATTTTATTTTCTTTTTCTAAACCAATGAGACTATAGACTGAAAGTGGAACAGGTTCATTATAAATGAGCAGTACCAGAGATAACACTTGAAATGTAAGTTTGCATGGTCTTTTCAGTGACTTAAAGTTTGATTTATTTGTTGATTCTGGTGAGTTATGCAGTAGAACTTTACAAGTTATTATGATAACAATAGCTCCTTAAATATTTTTCGTAAAATAGGTCTTATTATTTTTCATTGTTTGGTAAAGATATTGTATATTTATTTATTTGTTTATTATTATTCATTTTTATTCTGATCTCTCTCTCTCTCTCTCTCTCTCTCTCTCTATATATATATATATATATATATATATATATATATATATATATTTGAATAAATGTCATACTCTGAACTGAGATACATACTCATTTTATATTTAATGGTCACTTAGTAACATATATATATATAAAATATATCTTATTATTTTTCATTGTTTTGTAAAGATATTTTATATTTATTTATTTGTTTATTATTATTCATTTTTATTCTGATCTCTCTCTCTCTCTCTCTCTCTCTCTCTCTATATATATATATATATATATATATATATATATATATATATTTGAATAAATGTCATACTCTGAACTGAGGTACATAATCATTTCAGATTTAATGGTCACTTAGCAACATATTTATATGAACAAGGAATTGGATGATTTTTTTTTCCTGATTATAAAAATGTAGGTGATTTTTCTTCATTTAGCCTTGTGATTGTATACAAGAGATATCTTATTTCCACTATTGCCTAGGATGCTTTTACCTTATAAATATTATTTTCCTAAGGGCATTCTAATTACCCTAGTTTTTTTCTTTGAATAATTCTAAATCATTTTAAAAGTTAAAATGAAAATACAAGGTCCTATGACTCTCAGATATAGCATGATACCATTCTTGAAGCGTGCTCTAGGAGGAGTTGTTTTCTTTATTACGGTTTATGAGAAATGTGTCTACTGCCATTGTCTCTTGTCATACATTGAGGCAATAACTTTGGAATAACTGTGTGCAATCTCTGAGTCTGAGTCAAAGCTTTATTATTTCAATTAGAGACTGTGAAAAAAAATACAGGAAAATTCATTTGTGACATCATGAGACAGGATTTTTTTTTTGTTAATGTGGCTCTCCAAATCATAAATAATTTTTCCGACTATGATGCCCTAAAAGAAAAGTTCCCATTTCCATATTCTAGTTAATGTCCGATGTTTTTACTTTGCCTTGATTGCTCCATATATCTTGTGTCCCAAGTTTAGAATTACATGAACTCTTAAAGAATTTACTAAAGGCACAATGACCAGTAGTTAGACCTATGATGACATGGTAAACAAATCTCCTTACTATGCTTGCAATCTTTTAGCCTCTTGTCCAGATCCAGCGGGGATGGGAATCAATCTCTTACTAAAAGTTTTGAATCCATTTACAAAATCTTTTCTTCATGTTGTGCCATCCACACAGACAAATAGTTTATTGACTTAATTAAGCTAAAGATTTCCCATCATTTTCTATGTGCATGCTTGCAATTCACATGTCAAGACCAAAAACAGAATGTTTGTTACAAATATTACATCTATGCATCTGTTATTGTATTGTGATTAAAATACGAATGCAAAAAAAAATATATATTATTTTTGTATTTTTATTTTCTTTTGTAAAGACTTTTTGTTGTCTGGGTTGATATAGGTTATTTACTTCACAGATTACTAATTAGGCCTAATAGTATTAGAAAAAACTGTAAAGATATACTTAAATTATGTAAGACATAGGAGAGATATTACAGTGTTATAGCAACCACTATAGCATGCTAAGGTAGGCTTTATTATCAGAAGCCTTACTTTATAAGCATTATTGTGTAAGAGAAGTTTTACTTATCTAATTTATTTTATCTCATAATATTTAGCATAATATCATTATACTTAATATTTCCATTTAAAAAATAGAATAAATAATAATACCAGCTACATTTTATTAATTAATTTGTGTTTTCTATTACCAATGCCTAATCCAGGCCCGGATTTCCCTATAGTAGGCTAAGAAGGCTTAAGCCACCTTGGGGCCTTCAAAATGAAGGGGCCTCATAATTTAAAGAGGCTAAATTTGATAGGTTTTATAGTATTATAATTAACAATATATTTGATGCTATGATTGAAATTGTAACTCAAACTAGAAGATAATTTAAAAAAAAACAAACAATTTTTCTTAGTATATTGTTTCAGACGGCGACCCCCTCAGAAATCAGTTCGCAACCCAATAGGAGATCACGCCCCATCCCCCTGGCTAGCTACACCCCTGTCTGGGCCCCCTGCTTTGTCAAAAATGTTAGTTTTATAAAGCTCAGCTGTATATATTGCTCAAAAGATGGCTAATGTTGGAAATCCCCCCTCCCCTTGTCAAAAGTCATCTATACCCGTGTATGCATCAAACTACATTAATATGTAGTCATTTTAGTCTAATGTAGTGTAGGGCTATGTTTTTTTTTTTTCCGAAATCAACATATTAAGACATAACAATAAATGGATACATATTTTCATAATTCTAATGGTTGTTTTTTTAAATATATTTGAAACAACCCTTTGTTACAAGTTGTTAAAAACATTGGCTTGCATATATTTCGTGAAAGATTTGAGACTTGAATTGCGCCCTGTAAAGAATGCAAAACTCATATAAATTGAATGGCCATGGCGAACTTTGAGTTTGCTCCCTACCCTCAAAAAAAATAAAAAATAAATAAATAGACAGATATATAGGCCTAGTGTTTTTGGCACAGTGAAAGCTGCAAATGATTAACGTTGAAATAGCGATGTCTCTGACATGTGCGCCAACTCACCCCGGAACGTTAAAATTAACGTAATCCTGCAAATAACATCAGCTTTGCTTCGGACCCAAGGTTTCAGTTATATCCTGTTCTTACTGCTTATAGTAAAGTGCTGGCAGTTCACTTTGACCGGGGTTGGGAGGGGGGAGAGAAAGAAAACATGTGCGTCGAAGGCTCACGAGCCAAACCAAAGTGCGGGTCCTAGGGAGGGGGAGGCCCCTCCCGAACATATTTTTTATAAATTCAAAATACAACTATTCATTTTGCGCATACCTGAATGTATTTTAGCATTTTACTTGATTGATCCACACAGAAATGCTGTATACATATCTTTTATTTTTGATTGCATAGGAGCCAAAATGATCAATAAATTGATCGTGGGCCCTTAAGATATAGAAGAAGAATAGTAAAGTTACTTTTATATTTATGTAAACTTTAATTTAATAATATAAAACAATTAAAATATTTAATTCGTTTAAATTTCATTAGTGAACGGGCCGCAAATTCAACAGTTTTAATACTTTCATCGAATAGTTTTAAAGAGTAGGCTTATCAATGATCAAGTAGGGCCTAGCTGTACTTTTGATAAACGTGTTGCATTTGTTGCCAGTGCCAGTCTCTGTTCGGTTAATCGATCGTGGTCTGAAAGTCAGTGTGTATAATCAAAGCCACAGATTGCGAGAGCACTTTCACCGCTTGAAATAAAAAGTTACAGACAAAGCAAAATCAGTGCCTAGTTGATCATGAAGCCAATAACTGTTAATTTTTCCTCAACTAGGCCAAGAATAATTTTTTTTTTTTTAAAGTAGGTAAGTTTTGTTTTGGATTTATTCAATTTTTATTTCTTCCACGGGTTTTCGAAGATTGATTTACAGCGCGACAATAACTGTCTAAAGCTTCCTTTCCTCATCCTCATGTCCCTTAGTCCTTGGATCGTTGGGGCGCCACAGATGACATGTGAACCATCCTCCTCCAATCCTCTCTGTCTTCAGCACTACGCACTGCATCGCCCAGTGTTAGTCCTGTCCACTCTTTGATGTTATTCTCCCACCTTTTTCTTTGTCTTCCTCTTCTTCTCCCTCCTCTTGTGGTGCCCTGCAATATTTCTTTGGCAAGCCCTTGTTTCCTTGTTACGTTGCCGTACCAATGTAATTTGCGTTTTTTCAGTCACCAGTAGGTCATCGTACTTCCCAATTGCCCGACGAACCATTTCTTTCACTGTATCTTTGGAGATATGGTCCCTGAAGCATCTCATCTCCATCGCCTTTATTTGCCTTTCAAGATCGGCTGTTAATGTCCAGGATTTGCAGGCATACAGGAAATATAGCATATAGCTTATCTAACAATAACTGCAAAATCAAAGTATCCATACATTCACAACAAAGCAATGATTGGTACGTCACTAAAGTGCAAACAGTGATTAATACCGGGTATATAAAATTAAGCTCAGTGATAAATAACATTTATGAAATAATGATTATTACAAATGGAATATTAATTATATTGCACTGAATGGTGCCATTAAATTATCTAAAATAATCACTTAATTTTTTATGCCAACTTATTCACTTTCTCATGGGGATTTTTCCCATGAAAAGAACACCAAAAATGTAGTTCACCATACCACATATTTGAATCATTTTCAAAGGTGAAATCATTTCAATTTGTAAGATCAGAGTAAAGCAAGATTACTCATGTTTAAGAATTATGTCAATGGGCTTGATTATCTGCTGGTGAGCAAATGAATCTATCTCTTATTAATTTTTGGTTAAGTTTCCAAGAAAATTATTTCTATAGTTACAAATTTGGTTTAACTGAAATAATGAATATATCAGTATAGTAATATGAAAAGGTTATTAGAAGAGTTTACCCTGCCAACTAAGAATTTACTATTGTTCATAATAACTGGAAAAAAAAAAAATAAATATTTAACACACGAAGAATGGACGGTGGTGTATTACACCTATTCTGTCACATATGCCAACTGTTCTGTCACATCTTCCATCTATTATGTCATGTCTTCCAACTGTTATGTCATGTCTGCCATCTGTTTTGTCATGTCTGCCATCTGTTATGTCATGTATGCCAACTGGAGCTGATAAAGATCATTTTAAACCCATGTGGTATCAGTATTTATGGCCATTGTCAAATTTTACAAACACCAATTCATACTGGAGTCATGTATGCCAACTGTCACGTCCCAGCTGCCCTCTGTTATGTCATGACTGCAAACAGTTCTGTCATGTCTGCCAACTTTTATGTCAAGTCTGCAAACAGTTCTGTCATGTCTGCCATTTGTTAAGTCATGTCTGCCAACTGGAGCTGATAACGATCATTTAAACCCATGTAGTATAAGTCTTTATGGCCATTGTCCCACTTAACAAATACCAATCCATACTGGAGTCTGTCAGTGCTGGTCACTGTTCCCAGGCCTGGAGCTGGACCATCCTGT